CCCCAAAACCCCAAAACCCCAAAACCCCAAAACCCCAAAACCCCTGAAACATCTCCTCATGTTGAAATATAACATATTAGCATATGTTAGGAGCTATTTCATGCAAAAACCTTATAAGAAAACTGCTTAGGATAGCTCTGCTCTTTATGGGAGATAATTCTTCCGATTTTTGAACACCTTATGACTTTTTTGAGGTACTAGGACCTTCTATTAATGTTAGCATCGTAAACTGCAAAATCTTACCTTAAACTTTATTTGAAAATGATCTAATCTTGGCGCTTTGAGCATAGCCTTTCTGCTTTTATATAGAGTCGGCTGGCCACTTTTCGGTCGAGTAAGCTTCCTTTTAATTTTTTTAGGCTTCTCTTGGTCTGATTGCAATCTCCTGAAAAGTAACTTTGCTGGCTTCACCTTTGCCTTGGAAAAATGGCTCAGCCCAAGGGGAGATTTTTGCTCCAACTCAATCTTGCTATTAGACTCTGTGGTTATTACTAATTTAGGTATACAAAAGCTGTTTGCTTGATTCTTAATGTTCTTAGATGTCATCCTATACCTGCTAATTTTAAGTTTTTTGAACTTCCGACTACTGAGGAAAGATTCTAAACTTTTCCTGCTACTAACACTCTGGATAGTAGAGATACTTTTGACACTTTGGACAGTAGCCTTAGGTCTAATCATCTTATCCATAATAAAGGCTTTCGCTTGATTAATTTTGATTTGGTTCAACTTTTTGACTGATTTATTTGAAATGCCTTTGTCCTTTGTGCAGGATAAAGTCACTAATTTTATTTCCAGCCTGAAGTATCCTCAGATTCATCAAATTCAAGATGGAGCTGTAGGGAATCCTTCCCACTGTAAAATACCTCATCAGCTTGGCGCTGGCGCTTCTTGTTGGAAGTTTTATTTATTAGAGCAAGAATTTTGATCTGTTCTGCATCTGTTAGGGGATAAGAGAGATTTCCTGAAAATTATTTCCAAATTACTGTTTCCCTGCAGATTTCCTAAATTTTGACCTTTTATCAACTGCAAGATGATATTTCTTGATACTATCACTCCGCTTCAAAGAGTTGAGTGAAAATCTAGGGATAGATTGAGTGGATTTGATTTTGAAAATTTGTGACTATATAATTACATTGCGCTAATACATTTCCTTTGCTTCGATTAGAGTGACCTTGAGCTTTTGGGTTTACATAATTTGGATCTAATCCATTACTTCCTCTCAGATTGTGTCGTCTTCTTTGGCTAAATTTAGTTGATAAAGCCTTGTTGAAGATGGGTATTGCCAGACAGGAACCACTATTATTTTTAGGTGAAACGCTGGATTCTGATTCAGAGCTAGACTCCATTTCAATTTTTGGAAAAATAATGGGGTTTTGGGGTTTTGGGGTTTTGGGGTTTTGGGG